AGAAAGTTACCGTCCCAGCAAGCGAGCTCCAGTTCCTTGCTTCCGATCGAAATGGTCGTAACTTCCGGTCCGGCCAGATGGGGACGGCGTCGGACGAGGGAGTGAAGTCGAACAGCTACGAAGGGGGCGGGGAAACACCGTTGCAGTGAGCTCCCGTCGTTGCCTCCGATCAAAATATCGTGACTTCCGCTCGGACAGGGAAAAGGAGTCGGGGTAGCGATGCGTGTGAGGGAGCGAGGGAATGAGAGCGTCGGGGGAGAGAGCGATTGCGAGAGTCAGAGTGGGAGCGGGATCGTGAGAGAGCCGAATAAAGCCGAAGGCTTGTCTCGTTTTGGCATTAAAGAGATCGTGGGAGATACGACCCCGACGTGCCAGCGACGTGGGAGGATCGTGCGAACAGGTACGATTTTTTTTTTATATTTCCTTTGTTTTGTTTTGATTAACAGAGGTCCACAATCACGAGAGCAAATATGTGAGTGCCAAAGGAAAGAAGATTGTTGTAAAGGCATATTAAAGTTATCAAAGATGTCTATAATGGAGTCTTACAAATAACTGTTCATGATGATATTATCACCAATTTTTTTATTACGTATTGAACTGAAACTCGAGCAGAAGCTACAGTGAATGAGCCAATGGCACCCTCAAAAGTGTCAAGATGTACTTAAAAGAAGTCTACTTACCTCAGCGTCCTCAAATGTGGACATATAACCAAAGGAGATCCTAACAGCACCCGTTGGTTTTCCATGTAACACGTCAGCATCATCCCAACAAACATGTCCATCCTAAGAATTATAAGAAGAAGACAAGAAAGAATGTAGCAACTAAATATGATAGCTAATGTATATAAAGTTTAACCACACTAATCATTGAAACTAGCAATCCTTCTAAAGTAGTTGACAGCATCAAGATATGGTAAAAAAATAAGTAATTAAAAAGCCTAACTATTCATCAAACAAATCTTAAGAACATACCTCAAGGTTGGAAAGAAGATCTAAATGAGATAAACCCAGGAACTTAGCGCACGCACCAGGGTTGCAAAAACAGCCTGTCTACAGCAAACAGACATTTTAAACATAAATTTAGAAGAAGAAAAGTAATAGAAAAAAAACTATTGGAGGCTTGTTAAATTATGTATTGTAGCAAAATAAACCTCTGAACTCATATGCATTTCACAGTTAATTTTCAACTTTCTGGCCATTTCATCATTCTGCAATGATCCAGCATTCATATTTGCCTCATGCAATTGCCAGATCCTAACTTCTACTACAAAAAAAAAAAATTTCACTCCAATTTCATCCACCGAAAGTAAAGGAAGAACCAAAAAAGTACCATGCGCCATGTGGAACTGATAGATTATATGCATATGCCATCATCACCATCATCATTAGCTTTATCCCAACTATTTGAAGTCAAATCTAAAAATCATCATTTCTATCATCATCATCATCATCATCAGTCTTATACCAACTATTTAGTCAAATTTAAGAATCCTCGTTTCTATCATCATATTAGTCTCATCTAGGCTTGTAAGTAAGCAAAGCCGGCTCGTGAGCCTGCTCAAACTAGACTTGTTAATGAGCTCGCGAGTCGAGCTTATCGAGCTCAAGCTTATATTCGAGCTCTTTTATTAAACGAGCTCGAGTTTGAGCTCAGCCTGGCTCGACTCAAAAGGTTGTCGAGCTACTCGATTATATTAAATAATTATATTATATTATATTTTAAATATTATCTAATATTATATTAAATGAATTAAAGTAAAAATACTAGTCGCATGTCGCCCAGTTATTTCGCAAACCGTGATCTGCACTCCACATATTAGCATCACACAAGACGGCTGGGGGTTGCGAGTGTGACTTTGTCTTTGAGTTTCTCTTCGCCTGTTAGGTTTATTTCCTTCCCGTCGTCCGCGTTTTAGAAGACTGCGACTTCAGTGTTATTCTTCTTGTTCGCCGGCATTCACCTGCAGGTTCTCATCGGTTATGTTTTCATGGTAACCATCCATAGAATCAAAAAATCATGCAATTTTTTCCACTTCCACTTCTCTATATTTCCCTTCTTTTGCATTATGGTTGTGTTATTTAACTTTGTGTGGTCAATGTCGAATTTTGCTAGCAACAAGTGTGCTTTTTGTATCATTCTTACTACAACAAGTGTGCATTTTCATGGTAACTTTAAGTTCGATTTTCTATGTTAATTCGTTTGAGGGTTTTTGTTACTTTCAAGTACTTCCACTTGTTTAAAGTTCCCCTCATTTCAGGTTGCAATCCTTTAAGCTAAGTCTAGTTTTTTTTTTTTTTCTGTAATGCATTTTAAAGGATATTTTTATGTTATGTAATTATGACAGAATGATAAACGTGATTTAATTTATTGGGAAGCAGTATGTTATGCTTAAAATAACTACTAAACATTATAAGATCCAACCGATGCGAGATATGCCCTTTTTGGCAACAAGTGTGCTTTCTTATGCTTTCTGCAATAGGCTTACTAATAAGTGGATCTATTTTTGGATGAGAATCATGAGAGCACTTAGTGTGCTCACATCTGTTTATGCGGTTTCATGATTGTTCTGTTAGTTGTTCTTATATTATTTAGAGAAACTTACAAGGCTAAATAATTCATCTTTGTTGAATTCATCATTAATAGGATATCAAATTGATAATTTATTTAGTTATTCATATGCCTTGATATTTACCAGGTTGCAGCTTTATCAATAATTCCCTCTTGTGCACTCTTTACTACCATCAATTCTTGCTTCTACTTGGTTTATTGTAAATCGCTACAATAGGTTATCACCTTTACATCACTTATACCTTTTTTTATTATAGATTGCAGGCTAGATGAGTGGAAAATGAGTGTGTTGATTCCTATTTTTAAAAATAAAGGTGATGCTCAATATTGTGCGAATTATAGAGGAATTAAGTTAATATGTCATATTTTAAAACTTTGGGAGAGAGTTATGGAGCATAGGTTGCAGCGTGATTCTAATGTTTCTCAAAATCGATTTGGATACATGACGGGTAGGTCTACTATGGAAGCTATACATTTACTGAGAGGTTTGATGGAGAAGCATAGAGAGAATAAGGAGAATCTACATATGATATTATTGATTGAGAGAAAGCATATGATAAAATTTCAAGAGAAGTGCTATAGAGAGTTCTAGAAAAGAAAGGGGTAAATAATACTTACATTCAAGTCATTAAGGATACATATGTAGGAGTTGTTACTTGTGTTCAGACACAAAGTGGTTTGACCAAGTATTTTCCTATTTCAGTTGGATTACATCAAGGATCGGCATTAAACCCATATCTTTTTGTTTTAGTCATGGATGTTCTCACTAGATATGTGCAAGAGCTTGTACCCAGGCGTATGCTTTTTGCTGATGATATTCTTCTGGTTGATAAGGCTAGAGAGGGAGTTGAAGGTAAACTTGAATTATGGAGGTCAACCTTGAGTCTAAAAACTTTCATTTGAGTAGATCTAAAACTGAATATATAGAGTGTAATTTTAATAATAATTGTTGTGCGGGGGATTGTGACTTTGGGTGATCAAGTCATTAATAAGGGTACACGTTTTAGATATCTTAGGTCTATTGTTAAGAGTGATGGTGAAATAGATGGGGATATTATTAATAGAATTCAAGCTGGATGGTTAAAGTGGAGGAATGCATCGGGCTTGTTGTGTGATAGAAAAGTCCCCCTTAAACTTACGAGAAAATTCTATAAGATGGTGGTTAGACTTGCGATGCTTTATGGTGCAAAATGTTGGCCATTAAAAGAGTAGTATAATATTAAGTGTTACAAAGATGAGGATGCACAGGTTGATGAAACAATTCAAGCACTTATTTTTATATCTAATTGGGTTTGATGCCATTATGGGTTGAAGTGAATAATCAAGGTAAATAAATCAGAACCAATTTTATTTTTTTATCATTGAACTCATTTATCTAAATATCAAAGATCAGCACATGAATGTGAGATTGTCCTTTATTTTGTAGAAAGAAGATGAAGATGAAGAGGTGGAGATTTCATTGCCTATTATATGAGTCATTAAAAGGTATTTGATCATAATTATTAAATGCATATTGGCTAAAACTGTATAACATGCAGTCACTCTATAACTATTCAAGCAATCCTAAAACACTTGGATGCTAAAACCTTCCTTTCTCATTCCAACCTTTCACTTACTACCGAATATGCCTCACTAATTATAATTATGCTAGCATAAATAGCATATACTAGATACCAATTTTAAATATCTTCTTAAATGAACTCATTAAAAAATAAAATAAAATTGACTTGATCTTATATTCTATGTAGCCCTTTGGTGATTGAAAAATTTTTGGCCACTACACAATAACTTAAATTGCTAATGATAATAACTTCTTCATGCCTTCTACAAACACCTTTTACTGAAGACTGGTTATAGAACAGGAGGCGCATTGGTAGCTAAGGGAACCCCCACATGCGCAAAAGGAAGACAAGCCGACCAGACCAAGTTATTGATTATACAACTTATAATAAATATAATTAAATAGAAATTATAAAAATTAATTTTGTCATTTTTACCAGACCAGGTTGGCATGCAACTCTAAGCTTGGAGAAATCAGATGTAAAAAGCTAGAAGATGGTACGCACAAGCTTACCCGTAGTTGGATAGAAGATAGAGAAGCCAGCTTTTCAACTTCACGATACCCAAACCAAGATCCATCAGACCTTTTCAAATTGAATGTGATTGTGGGACCCACATTAGAAGGATTTGCCTTAAGAAACACAAGAAAAATTTTAAAAATGAAATATTTGAAACTAAACAATAAATATATGTGTAAGTAAACTTTCAAGAGAATCAAGCATAAGAAAAGAATACAAATGTCAGTTTTTCTAGCTTCAACACAACTTGAAGAAAGTAACTCGGTAGCAAAATATTCCACATACAATAAAGAGTTTGTACATGCCAACATCATCAAAAGCCTTATCCCAACTATTTTGTTAAATAACATCAATTATCAAATTATAAAAGTATTAAAAATACTAAATGTTCAAAAATAAACTAATGCCTCAGAAAACCTGATGAATTATATACTAAACAGTACGCAATTACAAGTAAAGCCAAAAAACACTTTCAGAAATAGACTTATTCCTACAGAGAAATTTGAACTTTTCTTGAAACATACTATGATTTAAGAAGAATCCTATAATCAAAACATCCAATTTTTTTATATATACTAAACTAGCGTATATGGGGACTTTGCAACTTGTCAAATGCAACAATTTTGAATTTGAATTTAAACAAATTTATAAATCTAACTATCACATCATTCATTTCATTGCTTATAAATTTAAATATGACGCATGATGCAATTTTAATTTTTAAATTTTGAATTTAAATTCTGTTGGCTCAAGAAAAACGGCGCGTCGGCATGAATCCCGCTTTACAAATATAGAATTACATCTTCCTTAAGTCAGATTCTAGTTAACCAGATTTCCCCTTAGGGTAATATCAGGGGGATCCTTACTTCCCATAAGCTCAAGCACTCATAGTTAATTACCCCTCTTAACGCGTAAAAGAAAACTCTCGATTATGAATAATTTTAGGTGTTTTTAGTCTCAGTTGTAGGGGGAAATGGAGGTAAACCTAATCAAGATCTCATGATTTCGTCATCCAAGGTTACCATAGGTTTCATTTTATCAACACTAACGATCATTAATAATAGTGTACAGGGAATTTAATTAGCAGTAATGGGTTGCATCCTCTCAGATATTCCGAGGAAACTGAAGTGGTTAAAGTGAGGTTGTAATTTTTACCGTGGTTTGGGATTTACATCTATTAGAATACCCAGTTGATTTAGTTTGGGATTTATGACTTAATTTAAAAGTTACCCTGTTAATTGAAATTAGTTCGAGGCTTATGGCTTCCGCTGAAAGCAACCTGGTTGTTTTAGAAGTATATCTTACGACTTTCATTTAAAGTAGCTCGAATAGCAGGTCTTACAACTTTACTTGGAAGACGTCTATCTATTTTAGACAGGCCTTATGGCTTTTGTCTTTAGAAGTGGCCTGAAAATGGGTCTTATAACCTAGCCATAAAGACTAAGGTCCCGATTTATTTTAATCGTTTGGGTAGGTCTTACAGCTTTCCTTTGGAAGTTGCATGTAAGGTTTTTGTTTGAATTTTAGGGTTATTGCACTTTATCTAACAATTTCCCTAGCGTATGGGTCTTACGACTTCACTTTTCATTTTTTGCACTTTAGTTTTGTTGACATTACTAATCTATACTTGTTTCTTCATTTGCAGGAGTTCGTGTTACTTCAGAGAGCTTACACAGGTGTTTTTTAAAGTGTTTGGAGATTTATGTTTGAGAGTTTTGTGAGCTTTAGTTGGTGTTTAGTTTTTAGGAGTTTGAGTGTTTTAGTTGGTGTGAGTTGTATTAGGATGATTAGTGTGAATATTATTTTCTTTTATTGCATTTTATTTTATTCATAATATTTATTCAATTAATTAAATGAATTTTAAATTGGTCAATTAATTTAATTAAATGAACTTTAAATTGATTAAATGAATTAAATGAAGTTACAAAATTTTGTGATTAATTAAATAATTATTTTTTTTTATTTTTTTTGAATTAAAATGTATTATTAAATTGCTCAATGTAATAAAAAATCAAAGTTATTTTTAAATTGATTAATAAATTTTAATTACATATTTTAATTAGTTCATTCTTCAATTAGTTAAAGAAATTGGTTATTTTAAAGTTATTTATTCAATAAAATTAAATTAATTTTAATGTCATTTTTTGAATTAAATAAATTTTAATCTTGTTTTTAATTTATTAAAATATTTAATTTTAATCAAAGGAGGAAGAAATGCTTCATTGCCGTTGTCAAATAGCAAATAATTATTATGGAGTTGGTAATAAGAAAAAAGCTCGCGAAGTAATTCTGACAAAGAGCTTTGAAGAAATAGAGGTGGAAATGGATCTCAAAGAAACATTAGAGTGAGATTCTCAAAAAACAAGCAAATTGTTGGAAATAAGAAGCAGAAAAGGGTTAAGCATACCGAGGTTGAAGACAAAAAATTGAAATTAAAGTTCTCTTCTTTCAAAAGTCCACAGTGAAAATTTTGATTAAAGATCATAACCATGTTAAAGATATCGGTAAAACAAAATCAAGATGGAAGCGTGCTTCGGGCATACAAGAGGATTCTGGACCACGGAAGCGTAGGAAAGGCTTGGATGACACAATTGTTGGTTCAAAAATAAAAACTTGGTGGTCAAATGATTAGAGGTTTTATGATGGCATTGTTGATTCTTTTGATCAAAGTACAAGAATGCAAAAAATTTTGTATGATGGTGATATAGAGGTGTTGCTCCTAAAGAATGAGCAGTAAGAGTTTATTGATGGTGAAACCAATGTTGCAGACATCCTTACCAAGGGACTTGATAACTCTACATTTTTGGGACTAATTGGCAGCTGGAAATAATAGATATGTATTCCCCAGCTTGAGGGGTAGTGTTAAATCCCAGTCATCCCTTGGCTCTTAATCCCATGGCCAGCATGGGGATCTGTGGGAGGTTCACCTAGATCATGCTGTTAAATCTCAGTCGTCCCTTGGTCGTTGATCCGACCACCATGGCATCCGTGAGAGGCTCACCTGGATCCCGTCAATCTCCTTCTATATTTGGGTAGTGGATATTTAGTAAGGATTATATTAAGGCAATTATGCATGATTCTATAGTTATTTGGGTGGCTGATTTATGAAGGTCAACAGACTTGTAAATAGAAGAACGATACACAAACAAGCGTGCAAAAATAAACTTACAAAATTGACATGTATAGATTAGCATACCAAATAATTGGGTTAATGATATCAAAATAGAGGAACCATATTACTATTGTGATGCGACCTTAGTTTCTAAATATTTTATAGAAAACACTTAGGAAAGCAATTAGAAAATTCTTCCTTTCAATAAAGAATAAACATCCACATGTTAAAAACTAAAAGTAGAAATAAGTTTTAGAAAATATCTTACGAAATCTGTAGGGAAAAACACATAGGAAAATATAAATAAGGCTGCCCTCAGAACAACCAACAAGTGGTCACATCACATGCAAAGTTCGAAAAATATTAGGATAGGTGCTCAAAGGAAAGATCTAACCAGGAATCCACTATTGAAACGATCCAACACAAGTTCACCCTCCACCAGCAAATAACAGCCAAAAGGTGGCAGCAAACACCATTAAGCTCACAAGAGAAGAAGGATACAGATGGGGCAAGAACCATTACAAGAGAAGAAGAGGTAGAAAACCAAGACGAAGAAGTAGAGGGAAAGGGTACATGAGGCTAGCTCGCAAGCTAGAAAAACTCGCATGTTTGTATGAAAACACTTTACTAAAAAACCTCCAAACCGCAGAAAAACAGCCCCTATTTATAGGGAAAAGAGCCATTAATGCAAGAAGTTAAAGCACACCTAAACCAGCCACTAGGAACACCTCAAAACTGCAGCAAAACAAAAGGGACAGGTGCCTAAGGGAAACCGAAGAATCAATACAGCAGCCAATGAACACAGAAATCGAAGAGATAGCTGTCAACGGGAAACCGAAGCTCAACACAGCAACTAATAAACACAGAAACCGAAGGGACAGCTGCCAAGGGGAAAAAACGAGGAAAAGGGGCCATGAGGAATCAACCCAGCAGCCAACCAAGTGAAAACCCAAAGAAACAAAGTGAATGAAAGGGAGAGACAATCCTAAGAGCACCAACCTAGCATGATCATTAGTTGTCTTCAATCATAGGGTAACCAAAATAAAAATTGCAATACATAATCAATCAAAAGTCATAAAAAAGTACATAAATATTTGACTATATCATATTGTAACAAAGCAATTATTGGGAAACTAATATGTCGATGGCGATGTAATGATTGAAACCCACAGGCTGAAAAATGGTATGCAAACTAATGACAAACCTTCTCAACTGTCCTTCCGTAGAGTAAACAAAGTTTCAACCCATTGCCATGCTTCAACTCTAACATCTTGTTCCTTGTATATGTTGCAAGAGAAGCTGTATGCCTACAAGAATTATAACACATTTTAATGCTTTACATATCAAGTGAATCTAACGGGTCACTCTGTTGGCATCAAATTTATAGGATTTGAACTTGAACTTTTGTCAGTGGGATCAGTATAAAATTTAATTAACAGTCAACAAGAAGCTAAATTCAGATAAGATTGAAATTTCATCCAGTCGTTGTACTTCTTAGTTAATTCCTTAAATACCTCCTTTCCAACAATGTAGTTAGCTACAAAAAATGATAAGATAGATCACATATTTGAAATTTTCTTTCATGATAGAAACGATGGACCAAGCATATTAAGGAATAATAATCTTCAAATTGTTCAATGCTTTCACTATACTTATAACAGAACTAAACTAAATATAAGTTATAAACTGTTGTTAGTGGGCATTGAAATCTATAAAAACACAGCAAGAAGCAAAGTCCTGCTGAGAGAGAAATTAGACGCACAATTGGTAACCGATAATGCTAATTTTCTTAAATACCTGCTTTTAAAATGTTTGTAGAGAGGGAACGCAAAAAATACCGTGCTATAGACAGTACAGTTAATCTATTGATTATATGGAAGCCATGGCGGATAGAAGCAATATCCAAGAATGAAACAGTTCCATCTTCAAATAACTGCTCAATGTTTTCCCTTTTCTTTACAAAGTCAATGTCCGCAATGGAGGCAGACACAGTACCTGGAAATCTCGAGCAATAAAATCCATAGTCATGTCCCCATCACAATCATTAATCAACTAAGTTAAGATGCTAACCTCCACTGAAATATTTCTTGTTCAGAAGCCTGGCAGCCTCTGCAAAGCACACAACTTAATCAGTTAAAGCTCAAAACCCAAATGATATTGGCGTTAATATGAAAATAATATAACAACAGTAGCTGAAAGATAGACTACAACTAAAAAATCAAAACGAAAAGAACCGGTAAAGTTAAAAGAGAACAAACAAATTTAATGGAGGACAATGCAAAAAAAATAATGTCTTGGGGAAATTTTTTAAAGCATCTGTTGTCAAAGTGAAAAACAATAATGCCGATGCCAAAAAGCCTGCTATATCACCAAGAATATGTAGTCCAAAAGAAGAAATAAAAGTTGAATAAGCATTTAGCAAGTCCCATACCATTTCGAACAATGAGAACTCCTAGACCAGTTGGATAACCGAACATCTAAAACATGCGTGCAGTCAGTGAAGTCAAAGAAGGTCAAAATCTCCGATTGTATAACATAGAAGGAATGTACCTTGTAGAAAGAACAGGTAACAAAATCTGCAGGATACCTAGCTAGATCTGGTGGTTCAGTAGCACAGCCTTTAGCAGCATCGATCAATACCAACCAGGAACCCCTACATGCCAAATTGGAACAAGAATGATGACCAATTTTCCGTTGAACATTCTAACAGACAAGGGACCAATGAAATAACTATAAGACAAAAATCATAATGAAAATAATCAATTTTCCCTCCATAGATGAGGTAAGCAGCAACTATTAGATCTATTGGCAGATAAACCAACCATTCCATTTATAAACCTAAAACAAAAGTCATCATTTAACACACACACACTATTAGAACTAAATAATCATGGTTCCTCAATACATTCAACAAAACACATTTATCTCATGATTGAAAAATAATCTATTTATACCAATAAAATGGTATCTTCTAACAGCAAAATCTCAATCTCACTCTACTGGGGACTTACCATTTTCCTAAGGAGTTGTTTGGTTGGCTAAAAAATGAATGAAATGTAAAAAAGAATATTTTGGAATTGTTTGGATGAGTGTAAAGTAAATTCAGAGTGTAAGGCTAGTTTTGCTTTCTTATATTCTTAGAGCGCACATCATGTGATCAAATACAGCTAAGGGTATATTAGTTGAAAATTCCAAACATGACGCTAAATTTAACCAAAAAGAATAAGCAAAACTACAAAAAAGTCAGGAGATGTAGACGGGGGGGGGGGGGGCGGGTGGCGGGGTGGGGGGGGGGGGGGGGGGGGGGGGGGTCAACACTAGTCCAAAATAAATCAAATTTTGGCTTCCCTTGAGTCTACTACCTCAATCCATTTGAGCTGAAATTTTAGCTCATTTATGAGCTGGTCTTTAGTTCATTTATTGAACTAAGGGTTAGCTCATTATTAGCTAACATTTTAGTTCATTTATTATCTTACTTTTTATGTTTTAATTATGTAGGTCTCTTGGAATTCCAAACTGGCTTTTGGAATTCCAAGATTTGCTTTTTCCCATGCGTGGCTCCTTGGATTCCACCATGGCTTTTTGTATTTTGTGCTTTTGCCCCTAGGGATTCCGGCCGGCTGTTGGATTTCCGTGCTTGGGCTCCTTTCCGTGACCGTGACCTCTTGGAACCGTGCGGCCTCCTTGGCTCCCGCGGTTGCCTCTTCGGTTTCTTGGTTTGGGATTTATTTTTAGGTGTTTTAATATTGTGATGTTTAGGTTCTTGTGTTAGAATTAATGTTTGTGTCTTTTCATATTCCCTTTCATACCTATATATATGGGGGATTTGTAATGTTTGAAGTTAAGTTGAATGATAACTTATTTTTGGAAGTTTTAACATGCGGGTTGGCTTTGGAAATCCTGCGGGCTCTTTCCACCCTTTCTTTCTCATCCCCTCCGGAAATCCTGCAGGTTCTTTCCAACCTTTCTTCTCGGGCTTCTAACCTCTTTCGTCTCTCCGCAAGCGCCACTCCACCTGTATCCCTCTTCTCTAAGTGCAGCAACTTTAGGGTGTCGTCATTTTGTTTGCAAGAGTCGTTTGTATTGGTATAAGTTTTCTTTTGTTTAGTTTAAATTGAAATGTAAGAGTTTGTTCTTCCGTTTTCTCGTCCTTAGTCGTTTTCGTCTGTAGAAGTCCGTCGTGTCCTTTGTGATCAAGAGATATAGGCTCCCCTATATTTTTTGCTCGCATCATCAGGTCAAAGGAATAAGGATAAAATATACATGCAAAACTTAAGATGGATATATTGAACAAAAGTTCAAGAAAGATACGGCTTTGGAAACCCAAGTTTTTCAGACAGTTAATAACAAATGAAGAATTGTCATTTACCGACACTGCAGTGAGTCTCCAATTCTGCTTCCAGCATACCCTTTAATAATGTTGACTAGTTCTAGAGGAAATTTCTTGCCAGAAAAATTGCACTCCGAGGGGAAAGCAAACAGATTATAACTATTCCCTGCATCAAAGAAGTGAATAATAAGGTTAACCACAAGTCCATGCCAGAATAAAATAAAAACAACTATATCAATATAATAGACCATAGGAAACGCATATCCAAATGGCATCTTGAACCACTACAATATAACCTTACAACACCTTGCAGTTCATATCGCATCAAAAGAGCTCTAGAAATAATCCTCCTATAGGTTCAAAGAGTCTTAGATTATTATCGAAGTATAAGGTCTGGGTGTATAGATGACTTCAATAAGATATAACTAAGAATAAATATAATTAGCTGGCACCTTTATTATATCCCAATAAAAGATTCAAACATAATTAAACAAGTCGAGACAATTACAAGAATACAATAGCTTCAGAAAGGCAAGGAGCTAGCCGAGGAAAGAGAGCATTAAACAGGATTGTAGGATTATATTTGTTGAAAACAACCTTCTTTCCTAATTATTCCTTCCACTTGACCCCCATATTTTATGTTCCTAACCGAGATAAACTTTTTAATTATTTGTGTTCAACTCGTCAGAAAATTTATAAAACAATGAATAATGAGTGAGGAATCAGGGCAGTTGACAATTTTTGAATAAAGCCTTCCAACAGCAACTAGGTTGACGGTTGTAAAGGAGACGAATAAAGCAACTCAGTTGAGAGACCAACGTTTCATTGGCATTGTTTGGAGGGCAATCTCAATTAAATTCCAATAAGATCAATTGATTGGATTGGAGGGCAACTTTGCTCACATCTTCAGATACAGCTTGACTTCATCAATTAGGAAGATGGTCGTAAAGGAGACAATAGGAAATCTCCGCTTTGAGGTACACCTCTCATTGGCAAGCATTATATGGCAGTCTCCATCAAATGCCACTAGGGATTTCAGTTGATTCGATGCCAATCCACTAGTGGTCATTGCCAACTACTTCCCATGTGGGTTAAAGTTGTCGCCATGGAGTTGTTGAGTCTCTTTGAATGCTGCAACAATGTCCCATTGCAGTTGAGTTGAACGTTGTCAATGTGGTTCAACAAACTAGGAAACCCCATGATAACCATGTACCACATAGAACCGTTGGGCCAAGCCATGGGTCTCTATGGAGCCATTGGGCCAAGCCACAGGTCTATGTAGTCATTGGGCCAAACCTTCGGTTATAGAAAATTTTGTCACGTCCTTACTGAGATTCTGGGCAATATTCTCAACTAGACATTTGCTCTTCATGAGCTAAAATTATTCCTAAATTTATCCTACTCAACAACCATTGCAGAATGTGAATGAATTTCTGCTTTAAATTTTTGAATGATTTAATTTCATTTTATATTTAAATTTTGATAAATATCATATTGATAATTTTATAAAAATTTGAGCTCCCAAGTGATTAATTTTAAGATTTAGGGCATCTAAAAGATAGAGACCCCTCCGATTCATATTAACATTCAACACAGCAATTATCAAGGTGACAAAGTCACTTTTAAAATATTTGTATTTTCATTAGAATTTGGGGTATTTTAAAACATAGGATTCCCTCCAGTTAAGATTTACTTTCAACATGATCATCATCGACATAACATAAACTCACTTTAAAATGTTAGCATTTTTACCAAAGTTTTGAGGTATTTTTAAATGCAGGATCCCCTCCGGATGAGATTCACTTTCAACACGATCATCATAGGGTATATATAGACAATCTTATTTCATAGTTTAAACCTTAACAACTCCATTTTCCTCCTAACAGAAGATCGAGTTCACCTAATGAATTTGGGGGTTATCATATATGTGTTGACAACTAAGAGTTTGTATATTTTCATTTCTTATAATGAAGTTTTTTTTTTAAAGGGGCCTTATACTATACCCATAAATTTTCAAAATGGTAAGCTTAAACTTTTCCCTGAAATTATAGCCAAAGAAACCAACTTTTATAAAAAAAAAAAATTTATTATTATTTCATTATGTTCTACTCATCAAACTCGGCAATATATATATATATATATATTAGTTAAGCAAAAATCATTCCACTTTTTTTCCTCCACCTGTACCCAACATCTGGAACCGAAACAATAGCTTACCAAGAGCAAGATGGGTTCTGGAGGAGGGGGCCGCGGGGACTACAGCGGTTGCAACTCTGAAATCGATGAAGGAAATAAGAGGAAGGAGGCTAGGGATTAGATAAGGAATCTGATTTGAATGAAGAGAAATGTAGTTAAGGTAAAATTCTATTTTTTAGGTTTATCATAAATTGATTTCAAGTTATGAACTATTTAAAATTTTTTAAAGCATTATTATTTAGGTTGTCTATAAAAGAGAATGAGGTCGAGGTATTCTACAGGATAAAATCCATCCTGCTAACCTAAAAAATGAGGTGATACACTCAATCTCTAGTAAAGGAAAAAACAATCGACCATAAATTTATCATAAATTGATAACCAAAAAAGTTAGAATTTTTAGATCTAACCTTGAAGGGAGCGGCCATGAACGTGCTAAAACCTATAGGCATCATATAACTTTCTAAAAGTGTGCATGAAGAAAACAATAAAAAAGGGAGAAAAATCTGAAAGATTTGATACTGTAAACTGCACAATTTTATGCATTGAACATTAATTATATTTTATTCCTTTCAAATTATACATGTGTACCACTTAAGTCTCTCAGATTAGTTTGAAATATCAGCATACATGTTAATTGTTTCTTGTTCTTGTATTAGGATTGCGCATTTAATTAAGCATTTTGCTGGCTAGTTGATGTATTGCAGGAAATGGAAAGGAGCTAATGAAGCTTTAGGCAGGAAATTGACTGCCCCGCGTGTACATAATAATTTTGGGTGTAGATAGTAAGTTGTATATTAAAGCTTTTGGTATGTAAAACTTTATTTGAAGTTTTTAGTCAAGCTTTGTATACTTTTTTTTATGTATACTGTGCATGCTTCGAAACATGAAATCATGAGGTATAATTCAATGGCTAGAATATATTTGCATTGGGATAATCTGAATAGATTAAATTCCTACTCAATCTAGATAATGTAGTTCAGGATGGGCGTGAGAAATGTATATGTCCAAATTGTCCTCTGCTACACCTTGGGTTAACTGAAGTGGGTCAAAAATAGGGTGTGAAAACTTAAAGGCTGAATGGGAACTTTAAAATAAATATCTCAGTTAATTTCTAATTTCACGATTGTATGCTCGTTCGTTAATGCAAGTCGAGTCAACTTTGGTTTTTCCAAGGAGGAGGATCAGACTCAGGAATTCAAAACTCATTTTGTAATATTTTAGTTCACACAGCACCCTTGGATGTTTCGTCTACACGTTCGTCACACTCGTCAGAGCATATGCGGACCCACAATTTTCAAGATTTTTTTCTCATGCAACTTTTAGGGTACTTGCATTGCATACTTGCAAGATTTCCCGTGCATCCGTATGACATTTAAGCATAACATTACATTTTAATTATATTTACACACTTCTCAAGGTAAATTTGACGGGATATGAAGATTGTCTCTGGATGCATGCATATGTCCTGCAAATATCTATATTAGGATACATTAGTAGGCTTTGAATTTTATGCACGAATTTTTAAGGCATTGTGCATTAGAATTTGAAAAATTCTTACAAATTTCGTACAATTAGCAATCATGTAAATTCTATTTATTTTCCTTCATATTTTGCATTTTACGAGTTTTAGGGTGTCATCTGTTGTGGACTTGATGGCGAAGAAGGCTAATTTGGAAAGAATATGGATTAGATACATGCATGAGTACATGTTTTTCACATGTCGTATTCTAGGCATTTAAATATCCTTTTATATTAAATGTTGCAAGCCAAGAAGTACTTTTCTTTTCACATATCGAAAACTAAAAGAGTTAATAATGCTTATATTCAAGTCATTAAGGATATCTATGCATAAGCTATTACTTGTGTTCAAACATAAGGTGGTTTGACCAAATATTTTCCTATTTCAGTTGGATTACATCAAGGACCAGCTTTAAGCACACATCTTTTTGCTTTGGTCATGGATGTTCTTACTCAACTTTTGCAAGAGGATGTAACCCGGTGTACCTTTTTTGCTGATGATACTCTTCTTATTCATAACACTAGAGAGAGTTAAAGGAAAACTTTAATTATGGAGATCAATCTTAGAGTCTAAAGATTTCGTTTCAATAGTACATGGAGTGCGATTTTAGTAGTAATAGATCTAGTGGGAGGATTGTGACTTTGGACGATCGAGTCATTAATAAGAGTACACGTTTTAGATATCTCGGGTCTATTGTTTAAAGTGATGGTGAAATAGATGGGGATATTATTAATAGAATTCAAGTTGTGTGGTTGAAGTGAACGAATGCATTGGGTCTATTGTTTGATAGAAAAATACCCCACAAGCTTAAAGAAAAATTCTATAAGATGGTAGTGAGACCTACAATACTTTATGGCGGAGAATGTTGGCCAATAAAAGAGAATCATAAATTTTAGTTAAGCGTTGCAAAGATGAGGCTCAGGTGGATGAGTGGCTTTACTCTTAGAGAAAGGATACAAAATGAGCATATACTTGAAAAGGTTGGAAAAGCTCCAGTGGAAGATAAGATTAGAGAAAGTCACCTTAGATGGTTTGGTCACATAAAACGGCGGCCTTCCGATGACATGGTTAAAAAAGTAGATGTATTAGATTTGACTTATGTTAAGAAAGTTATAGGTAGACCTAAAAAGACTTGGTTAGAAAGTATTAGAAATGACATTTCTTTATTAATTTTAGATGAGAATTTGACTCTTAACAGAACACAATGGAGAAAAAGGATTCACGTAGCCGACCCCACATAGTTGGATAAATGCTTGTTGTTGTTGTTGTTGTTGCAGAGATAAGGATGCTCAGGTGGATGAGTCGCTTCATTCTTAGAGAAAGAATGCAAAATGAGTATAAACGTGAAAAGCTTGTAGTTCCAATAGGAGATAAGATTAGAGAGAGTCGCCTTAGATGGTTTAGACACATAAAACATCAGCTTCTCGATGACACGGTTAGGAGAGTAGATG